GGAAATGAGAGGGAGGGAGGGAGGGAGGGAAAGGGAGAAAGGGAGAGGGAGGAAGAGGGAGGGAGAGGGAGCGAGGAGGAAGGGAGAAGAAAACAGAGGAAGGCACAGTGAGGGAGAGGGACGGAAATGAGAGAGGGAGAGGGAGGGGGAGCAGAGGGAGAGAAGAAAAGAGAAAGTCACTGGTCAGTCCAATGAGCGATCAACAAAATTCTGCGCTGTTTGCTGCCTGTTCCTTCACTTTCCGCAGCCAAGACAAGACAATGCATGAGTGATTTGAGGATGTCCGGTTAGGAGAACCAAAAGCTCAAATGATTGGGGAAGAGAGATGTTAGTTCAGTCGCTGCCAAATCCTGAGCGGCCAAGAAATGAATATACATGCACATGAACAGACCAGCAAAAAGAATACAACTTGCCTTTGTGACAAATCAGGCTATGGGACGAAGCATATGCAACATTCATTGTTCACTTTGATCATTCGCTAATTGAAAAATGTCCAGTTCGCAAGAAATGAATACATCCGCAAGCAAAAAGGTTTTTCTTTTCAGCACTGAAGTGACGTCAACTTGCCTTTGTAATAAGGCTAAGGTCTGGAGGGTAAGCCCCATTGTTGGCAAAGCGAGCTGCTTGCTCGTTCGCATAAGGCTTCGGGAAATAATCGGATGGTTTCCCCGGACGCGTAAACATCTCGCCTTCATCGTTGGGTCCGTCCTCCACTTCAATCTCTTCAGCCATAGCCTTGACCTCCTCCTCTGTGTAGGCAACTCCAGTGAGGTCGCGATAAGCCAACATAGACATGCTGTGGCATGATGCACACACCTGCTGATAAACTTGATGTCCTCGGCGAATTCTGCAATCACGACACCAGCCGACGAAATGGAACAAACGCAACCAATCCACAACAGGAAACACGTCAAGTCAGCGATGACACACACCTGCTGATAAACTTAATCCTTGGCGAACTCTGCAATCATGACAACAGCCAACGAAGTGGAACAAACGCAACCAATTCGCAACAGGAGACCAGTCAAGTCAGCGACGATCCAATCACTACTCAGGCCACCTGCAATTGGTGATCAGGCTATCCTCCCACGCTTATCCAGACCTATTATCCAGAGCTACAATCATCGACTGGTCATCTATCTTCCTGAGGTTATCCTCATCTATTATGAACGGGTACTATTATGAATTATCCCTATCTATCCTCCCTATTACGAACCCCCGACATCTATCCTCTCGCGTTTTCCGAGAGCTTGTGCGATCGGGCTATCTCCTCCCGTGTCCTATCCAGAGCTACTGTGAACGGGAGGGACTATCCTGCAATTGCAACTATGACAGTCCAGAAGAAACCTGCTTTTCCTTTCACAGTGAGTGAATACGAGCGATTTACGAGGAAGAAGCCAGCTTTTCTTTCTGCAGAGAAAAACAGCGACTGCGACAGCCAATAAAAAGCCTGCCTTTTTTTTTCGCAATGAATACGAGCGATTTAGGAGGAAGAAGCCTGCTTTTCTTTTTGCAGTGCAGAAGAGCGTCAGAATGCACAAATTGGCATTTGAGATTAATGTTTGGTAGCGGATGGAAAGAACGATGTCTATCGAGCGAGATCGAGAACTAGACATTGAGAAAGAGAGTAGTGACGCCTAGGAACGAATTTGTTGCTTGCAGAAGGAGGAAGAGATAGACTGTGCATCGCCAACCAGCAACATGGCTACCAACCAGGAAATAACAAAACGAATAATATTTAACCTGTCAAAGGCAAAACGTTGGCGGGAAGGAATATCTGTCAGTGCTAACTACGAACGATACTATCGTTGTCGTCCCTTGTTGTCATATTGAACCGTTGATAGACTGATCTTAACGATGCACTAAAATTAGTTACAAGAAGATTAATTATCCAGAGCATTTTTTTATGAACCGGTTATCTATCTTCCCGTTATTCCTCTCTTCAATTTTACCT